CCTTGGAGCCTGGCCTGTGTAGCACAGGTTACTTTTGCAACTGTGTGTTTAAGAGTCATCATCATAATTTAAAATTGCTTTGTTTGTTCACCATAGAGGGCACTAAGGAATAATTAGAAACTAATGTAACTGAACTTTACTAAATATCAAGTCCTTTTCATTCTAAACCTCCATTCCATTCTTCACCTCCACGAAGTCTCATTCAATATTTTGAGATTTGGGAAATAGATATTCCTCATTTCCACTACCACTCCCAAACTCTAGCCAAGCACAGCTGGAATAAGGAGAAAATAATAGTTCCATGTCTTTTTGTCTTATCTTTGAGTCATAAGAATATTAATGTATGTTAATGGTAACTTGCCTCTGTCTAGCTGAACTGCAAAGCCAGCCCAAGACACTACATTGCAAATGGGGCTCCCTGTCACTTTAAGTCAAGATGTGTTATAAACATTGCTGGTAAAAAAAAATTGAGTCAGAAGATTCCACTATCACTTCTCTCTGGCAGTAAAAAAACAAAATGATGATAAATTAAATAATAAACAACTTGCTGCTTCTTGATACTTGATATAAAATCAGTTACCTCACTTTATCTTAATGGTAAGGCTGGTCCTGATCAGCTACCACTTCAATGTCTCTTTCCAAAGATGGATAAAGTGTTTGAAGGAGTAGACCTGTCCTGCTTAATAAAGTTAATGAGAAATTCTTGGGTAAATTGCCTTTTCTCATAGGGGGATTTAGAATTTTCTGCCAGAGAGCTCTAGTGTCTTCCCAGACTACAAATCCCAAGACTCCACAGGTTGCAACCATGGCAGTTACAATGGAATCAGAGGAGATTATCAGATGGAAGACAGGATGTCCTTGTCCTGTCCTTTCCCCATCCTTTCTGTGCAATTGCGGGAAGGACTTTTAGATGTCGCTCTGATCCTGTCATTGTCCCATCTGGGAAGTGCAAATGATAGCGATTGCATGAAAGACTTTCATATGACGTCACACGGATCCTGTCATCATCCCATCAATGAAGTTGAATTGTCCTGTCCTTGCTCTTCATTTTGTATTAATGGAAGAACGCGTTAATTCCACTTCACTGGTAGGTTATTCACAGGATCAGTGCGACATCTGTGAATGTCTTTTAAATGATCACTGTCATGGACGGGATAAGGATGGGAGAGTGATCCGCTTCACTCCCATCCCCCGTCTGATAATCTCCATAGTGCTAAAATGGTGTATTGTGGAAGAGGCCTCGAAGTAAAGTCCCCATCTGCATCAAATAACAATACAGTGATAGAAATTACAATATTTCTATAATAAATCTTTCTGTCATGCCCCACATAGCTTTCTATTGGGCTTTAAAACAACATCTCTTTCTGTGTGTATGGATACATGCTCCAGACAGATGCATTTAACTATGCATGCAATTATTTTGCCCATACAAACCATTACTATTAACCATTAATATATATTAATATCCTTGTGGCTGTAAGATGAGATGTCACTTCATTATGCTCAAATATGTTGAGAACTGGAATTAATTAGTATGTGCTGAGCAGGGCATGGTTTTGATTTTTTCTGAGCTCTGGGGAGTAAATTATGAGGAAGAAGAAAGTTATAGGTAAAATGGCAGGGAATCGCATGCATGATTATGATTATGATTATATGAGATATCTTAGATGTACATTAATCTGGGGCTTCTTCCTCTGCTCCATTGACCAGCAATAAGTTTTAAAAAGCAGTCTGTAGAAACTCTCTGGAGCTCAACAATGTAAAGACATCAGAACCTGTCTGATCTTGGAAGCTAAGCAGGATCAGCCCTGGTTAGCACCTGGATGGGAGAACACCCCAAAAACCCAGGTGCTGCCGGCTATATTTCAGATGGAGGTATTAGCAAAACTTCCTCTGAGTATTCCTTGCCTTAGAAAACCCAATGAAATCCATGGGGTCACCATAAGGCAACAGGTATACACACACACATTCACTCTCTACAGGAGCTAGATGTGAACAGAAGTGCAACTCATACCTGTTTTGCAGGGTAATGCCACTGGAAATCCACTCCTGAATTAAACTCAGCCCATACTGTGCAGTTGAGAATTAGTTTTTCTCCCACTAGTAGCTCCATGGCCTTTCTTGGGAACAACTGAATGTCATAAAGTTCATTTCCTAGAGAAAAATAAATAAATAAACAATTAATTAAAGCAAAACAAATCCAGCACATAAAACATTTGCTTCAGTTGTGAAAAACTGTTTAAAAAAATTATTCTACACCGACTCACTATCCCGAAAAGACCATTTTCTGATTGTTGTTTGTTTTGTCATACCATT